TATATGTTATTATAATACTAAGAAAATAGAAATATTTAATAATAGACAGAGAATATTAGATAAAAAATATATAATGAAGCAAGTCCACCGGTGGGCGTTGTTTGTATGGCCAACCTTTCTGAGCATCACCTGTGAGCAATTTTGGCATGAAATTTCTGTGACTTACAAGCTCAAACCATGCAAAGCTAAAAGGCCATTTAAAGATATTAAGTGCTAACATTTATCAAAGACAGTATTAAGTGCTAACATTTATCAAAGACGGTATTAAGAACCTGGTTCATAAGATCAAGTAGCATCCGCCATTCTTGTAAAGGTTCACCTTCCTTTTTTTCCAGACAATAGTTCAATCCGATCTCATGACAATTATTCAAAAAAAAAAAATCAAAGACAATATTAAGAAAGGATATCCACGTGTGAGCTAGGAGAAAATGAGAAGATCATTCTAGAAAAAGAAAGAAAAGATAATTGCAGAGAATTGTGAAGGCTGGAACTTTAAGGCGTTGCAGCGCCTGAAATGCATTTGCAAAGGCTGTCAAAATCTGCAACAACAACCACCTCAATTAGTTAATCAATGGAGGAAAATAATGACTAAACAGATAAAAATGAATGTACCTGAAAGTTTGCACCATCAGTAGCCAGATCCAAGGAACCAATATCTAGTAGTCTCAGTTAATATATAATCTGAAATACGGTCTAGGATTATAAAATGATTTCTTCTTCTCTGCATCTTTTTGAATACATCTCATGGTCACAGTTAAAAGCTGCCAATACCAGACATATCACTTTTAATAGCTGTTTGGGAAAAGAATCATAAAATAAGAAAAATAAAATCTGCACAACTTTCACCTTTAATAGCTATTTCAACTTTCACCTTTGAACCTTGCTTAACGGAGTAATCCTAAATGACAATAAAAATACAAGAACAAGTTAAAGCTATGTAAAGTTAGACTCAAAATATAGAGTATATCACTTTGATATGATACTTTTGAGAAAAATTATAGGCCTTAAAAATTGATAGAACAAGTTTTGCATAAATATCAACTGCAAGGAAGGACAGACTCTGTGCTTGCTGAGGCGATTGTAATGTGCCAGAATTAATAACCTCAGAAGAGAGACAATGGGCAACGGAGAGCTCCTAAAATGGGAAAAAAGAAAAAAGGGTTAAAATATGAGTTCTGGCTATCTCATGGCATGTTGGACAAAAGTTGGGAGCAAAAATTAGCGTGAGGATTCGGAAAAAGCATCCTGTCATATCAGCCCCTTTTGAGCAGTCCATTTTGATGCAATTGTATAGTGTAATGAGTAAAGCTGCATCATTTGAACCAGGAAGTTCACATATCTGGTACCATTCTGCAAAAAGCGTAGAGACCTGCAGTTTTTTTTTCATCGAATAGAATGTCAAACCGTGGATAATACCTCCAAATTTTGCAAATTAGAAACGGTGGAAAATATTTACTGCACTAAGCATAGATAGAAAGGTAAAAAGAAGTTTAAAGTCTTGTCAATTTTATTTGGTTAAATTTAATAACTATGTAGTTTATTTCAGTTTAGTTTAGAAACAATTTTTTCTTTCAAAATAATCTATAAACTATCAATTTTGTTTCAAAATGGTTTACTTAACAAACATTCCGTTAATTAGACTAACGAATGTTTGTCTAGATGAGTTGGTGTACATAAATTGCTTCTGAAACTTTTGAAAAATATTAAATATGATACATATATTTTTATTTTTTATAACATTTTGTTTTTAAAATTCAAATTTTTTTGTTAAATGTAATAATTAACTAAGATAAAATTTGAATTTACATTAATTAAGATTCTAATTTTAATTTACAATAATCAATAATATAATTTAAATGTTATTATTTCTAAAAAAATTAATTTATTATTAAATATTAATATTTTAAATAAATAAATTCTTTCAAAATTTAATTTAATTAAATGAGCACTCACATATAATTAAAATTACCTAAAAAAATAAAAATTCATTTCAATTTTATAAATCCTCAAATTAAAATCATGCATGTATTATTAGGGTTAAAAATAAAAATAAAATTTTTTATTTTTATATACAAATTAGTGAAAAAATATGTGATTTAATAATAGTATTAAGTTTTTTAAGAAATAATAAAATTTAAATTCTAATATGGATTATTATAAATTAAAATTAGAATCTTGATCAATATAAATTAAAATTATTATCTTAATTAATTATTACATTTGACATAAAATTTAAACTTCAAAAACAAAATATTGCAAAAAACAAAAATATGTATACTATATTTAATATTTTTCAAAAGTTTTGGGGGCAACTTGTCTACACCCAGCTTGTCAAACAAACATTCCGGTAGTCTAGTTAACGGAACGTTTGTGTTAATGGAATGTTTGTTAAGTAGACTATTTTGAAACAAAATTGATAGTTTATAGATCATTTTAAAATAAAAAAATTATTTTTAAACTAAACTAAAATAAATCACATAATTAATAAACTATTTATTGAATTTAGCTATATTATTTTTATATAATTGGATTCTCACTAGGTACACTTGAAAAAACCAGGAAACTTGAGACCATTTTAGTAATTTATGTCTACACCATAGCCCTTGGTAAGCAACTAGTCCATAAGGGCCAAGGTAGAATTCTTAGAAATGCCTTGGATTTAGTGGCACAGGCAGTTCCGTAGTTATATCATTGACCACCCATTCATCAATTATAGTAATTTCTACCAATTTTGTCAAATGCCACACAACCAATGTTACATTCAAACAAAGAACGAACCAATTAATACATGAAATAAAGAGAGCAGAATCAAATTTAACATTACCTACTCCTTAAAACCAGCAGGATATGGTTCCTGGGTCTCCATATTACTATACTGTTCTTTGTTTGCCATCAAGTGATCAGGAGCCTACCGCAATAGAAAATTGATTAATAATAGAAACAAAGATAATTACACCTAAGACTAAACCTAAATACACCATGAATAATAAACTGACCTTTTTGTCCTTAGGTTGCCTAGCCTTATCATCCTTTCCAAGAGTTACACCAGACGAAGTAGCCACATTAGCAAAAGGATTTCTAATCATATCAACCAACTATTGTGATGATTCAAAGGACCCAGCTTTGGCAGCAAGCTGGAAGTTAAAAATAGTCATAATCAACACAATCTTCTCACTATAGATAGATACACACAGACTAGAGAGGGAGAAATAGTAATTAGAACCTTTGCTAGTGCATCAACAAGATTATGGAATTCTGGGACAACTCTACTTTCATCATTGACCAAAGTTTGGAGCAAAGAAATGGCAAACTCAATTGCAGCTTCTGTATATTTAAAAACTTAGTTAGCTGACTTTTAAAATTAACAATGTGAGAGATAGTCCTTATACATACTATTTCTTCTGCCATCTATAAGCTTGGCCATGTGAGCGTTGTATTCCGCAAGGTTTAATAATACACTTGGAATAAGGCCAACAGTGATATCCTTGTTGAACTTGCGCTCTTCATTTGAGAAGGTCACTTGTATGATAGTAGTTTTGAAAAATCATGACAGATTGAAGCATACATGCCAACAAAAGACCATCTCAAACACTTTGCCATAGATGCAAAAAAAATAATTGATATTGTCTAGCTAAGTTTTTCATAAGAATATTGTCATGTTAAGATCTAGATTAAGTCCCATAACTGCCACCAGCTAATCAAACAAATAAAGAAAAAAGAAAACACTCCTAAGACAAGCATCAAAACATAGGGTAAAAATGTAATTCAGTTTTCAACCAATGGAGCAACGCTTTCTAGGCAACATCTTCTTAAGACAAGATGGGCACTAAAATGAAGACTGTTTGATGCATTCTCATATAAACCCTTGAAAACCTATATGAGAACTGAAAAACAATGTCAAAGTGAGGCATGCATTAAGAACAACAACCACCATAACAAAAATGTTGCAATGAAACAGGTAGTATACCTTTTCAGCTACAACTAAGGATGCTCATTGCTAACAACAAAGGGTTTGGAGTCAATTGTTCTTTCTTGGAAGGAGCTTCAAAGATTAAGGGTAATGTCATGTAACAACATTAAGGATACAAATGACTTGTATGGAAGCTAGAAAAGATAGACACAACAATCTACAAACTCTTTGCTAACCGTATTATTTAGGTCACAAACTTTTGGCATGAACATAACAAAGGATGATTTTGCAATTCTGGTTTGCTTCAAGCCAGTTGAACCACACTTCCCTTGTATATGGGGAGTCTTGTAAGGTTAATGTCAATCTACAATAATTTACTAATGTATTGTAGTGCTAGTGGCATGCATGTAGCATTTGATAGGTTTAGATATCACAAATTTTATTCTAGTTTGTTATTTTTTGTAAAAGCAAAAAATTATGTATTGTCGCCCCTCACTTTTGAACTTATGGGTTGTATGGAACATCTTGGATTCTTCAATTGATCCTGCTTCAACAATGTCGAATGACAGAACAAGAAAGAAGCATTAAAGCTTAAAGCATCATGAAAAACTCCAATCTTATACTTAGTAAAAGCAGATTTCATTCCAAAACTGTAAGGTTTACACAAGCTACAATAATGAAACCATTTCATTAATTACGGCCTCGAGCTACAACATTGTAATAACACTTTAATTACTTCATAATTTGTCTCTCTTGCCATAAAAGTTTACTGAATTAGTGATTTTGGCCCCTTTTATCATGATCACATTGTCATTAGCAATGCGCTCCTCCACAACTTCAGCGACATATCCAAGTAGGGATGAATCAAACTTTTCACTAGATGATAGGACATGCAAATCCATATATATATATATATAACGATTTTGAAAATATCGCACATACTGTGGTCATGCCAGTTGCCTCGGCAACATGGCACATATCCTCCATCTAGACATGTTTCACAACAATAACCCCAGCCTTAGCAAAACACTGGAAAGCAAAAGAAAGAAAAATGAAAAGTGAACATAAATTTTGTAAAAATGGCAGTATAGGCAAAAAGTAATTAGACAGAAACTAACTAAAGAAGAAGATTGCCTTAAAGGCCATGTCATCTTTCTCCTCTGTAGCTAAAACTACATTTGATCTTGCTTCTATAATGTTAAGTGGGAAAATCCCACATCGAGTATAAAAATAAAAAGCTTGTGGGTTAAATACAAAGAAAGCCACTCCACCTAAAACCAATATTTTCCCACTTAACATGCCCCATCACGTGCAAGCCCGCCATGAATGTTGGGTCCTATCACGTGGGTTAACATCACTCCACCTATTGCCAATTAGTTTTAAGTTGGATGCAAGTCTTGTGTTGAGTCCACATGCACAATTTTCACATGGTATCAGAGCCCAGATTCTGTCTTGAGAAGTCCATTGTTAGTTCACCTAACAGGACTCAAACTTGAAGGTATTGGGCCTACATTTAAGGGGGCATGTTAACCCACATGACAGGACCCGACATTCATAGCGGACCTACATGTGATGGGGCATGTTAAGTGGAAAAATCACACATCAAATATAAAAATAAGAAGTTTGTGGGTTGAATACAAGGAAAGCCACTCCAGCTATTGCCAATTGGTTTTAGGTTGGATGCAAACCTTGTGTTGAAGCCCACATGCATAATTTTCACTTGGCATCAAAGCCCAAGTTCCATCATTGAAAGCTCATTGTTAACCCACCTAATAAGACCCGAAGTTAATTATTAAGCTACGTGATAGGACTTGACATTCATAGTGAGCTTGCACATGAAGAGGCAAATTAAGTGGGAAAATCCCACATCGTGTGCATAAAAAATAAGTATGTAGCTTAAATACAAAGAGGGCCACGCCACCTATTACCAATTGGTTTTAGTTGAATACAAGTCTTGTGTTGAGCCCACATGCACAATTTTCACATGGTATCAGAGCCCAAATTCTGTCTTGAGAAGCTCGTTGTTAACCCACCTGACAAGACTCGAAATTGAAGGTATTGGGCTTGCATTTAAGGGGGTGTGTTAACCCACGTGACAGGACCTGACATTCATAACAGGTCTACATGTGAGGGGGCATGTTAAGTAGGAAAATCCTACATTGAATATAAAAATAAGAAACTTGTGGGTTAAATACAAGATAGGCCAGTCCACCTATTGCCAATTGGTTTTAGGCTGGATGCAAGTCTTGTGATGAACTCATATGCACAATTTTTACATATAATTTTCTAGGTACATTCTTTTCCATTATCAACTTCCCTATTGGGATAAAGAAAAAAAAATCGATCACCTTTTATAAATCTTATCAAATTCCCTGGTATTAGTTACCTATTCTTGGACGCCCAATTGGATTTTTGTCTTTTGGATATCAAAGTTGATACATGCAATCTTGGTTGTACCAACTTTCAGATTGCATGTATCAACTTTGGAGGGCATTCCTTCTCGAGCATGGCCAGTATTAAGAGCATAGCCATTAAGTAGGTAGCTCTTGTTGTCTGTGACACTTTTTCCTCAAACTTTCAAATTTTTATTTCCTGTAAGACCAACAATGCAATTAAGGAATCCACACAAACATGCAAATTGGTGCACACAAAATTATGAAAACTCATGTAACTGCCTACATTGATTGAATATGCGACTTCCCCTCATGTATTGGTTATCTTTACGGCTTGAACTGCATTCACAACCTAAGTATTCAAATTGATGCATATAAGATAACCATAACTTAATATAGGAATATCAAGCAGTTCTAAAGTGTTAAAATTATATAAAAATGAAATTAGCATAGAAGTCGCTATCACCAAGTTTCAAAGTTGATGATATGCTAGTCTTGACAACGCTTAAAATAGGATCCTTCTCAAGATACTCAATTTTTTTTTTTTTTAGATGGGTTTCCATTTGGGGTAAGGGTATTGGAAGCCCAGCCCAAAGGCTAAGTATGCACCTTACAACCTGATTTATAACTATTTGACCACAAGGCCGAGGTGCGAGTTATTACCTTACTTTATCTTTAATTAACTCTAAATTGAGATACGATTTCCTCTCCCCTTCTTCCTTAGTAATCGTTCTCCTATATTTTTTCTCAACAAATTCAGACTATCTCATGCTTATAATGATAATTTAGAAAGATTACACAAAAAAAGAGAGAACATGATCTAGATCATTAGTCAGGTATCTTGACATAAAACCAACCCTAAGAAATTGAAACCTTAATACGTAATACTCTTTTCAATTGATTCTTTAATCAAACAAACTCTAAAAGCAAAGATTTCTTGCTTAACGAGAACATTCTTAATTTGAAAATTACCTTTTTGATTGAGAAATTGCAAAATGAATTTGAGAGTTAGGGTTTAGATTTACAAATTAAGAAAAGAAGAAGAAGAAGAAGAAGAAGAAGAAGAGAAGAACAAATTAGAGAAAGAAGCAGAGAGAGGTGAAAATGGAAGTTCGTGCATTGAAAGAGGAATTAGTGGTATTTGAAAAGGAGTTTTAGGGTTTCCATTATAATTAGAGGTAAAATATTCAAAGGCTGATTAATACTTCTATAATTTTTATTTTTGACCAACATTTTTTTATAATTTGATACTTGTAAAAAATTTTAAATTACTAATAAAATCATAATATAAATAGGGAGTTAATTGTTAATTTTGATTGTAAATAAGAAATTTGATTGTTAATTTTGGAATTTTTTATTTATTTTAAATTATAAAAAGTATTAATTAAGAATAAAAATTATTAATAATATTAACAATAAAATGCATATATATAAGATACAAATGTAAATTTTAACCAATATTTCAATGCAATTATAATTAAAAATATATGATATTAACAAATTAGTATGTGGCAATAGTCTCAAGTCTCGACATACATTTAAGAATACAAGCTAATGTAAACTAACTGATACGAGCGGTTTTGCATGAAGAGAGTATTTTAAGGCTTTCTCGTAAACAACAATTGAGTAAAATTGAAAAAAAGGAGGTGGCCCATAGCCCATTTTTAATTGGGCCTTAAATATACTTAATTAGTTAATTGGATTTTTTTTAGAAACATAATTGGTCTTAATTTTTAAATTATTTATTTATATTTATTATATATGAAAATTCAACATTAATTATCCATCTAAAATGAAAAAAAATATAGATAAAGATATAATTTTTTTTATTTACGAATATAAACTTTATCAATTTTTAAATAAAGTGATAAATTTTTATTTAAAAATATCAACTTTATTTGTCTATTATTTAAGAATTAATTGG